ACAGTGATTGCAGTGTGGCCATTTCCCCTGGGAGGTGATTTCTCACTTCTCCTCTCTCTGTCTCTCTCTCCGGTGAGCGCATGTGCATTGTATAAAAAAAAAACTAAAAAAAAAAATTGAGTTCATTTTTGAGTTCACTTTTTTTCCCTTTTTCTTTCATGGAGAGGTTTTTGTTATAGGGCACGTGTGCTCACCAGAAAGAGAAACAGAGACAGAGAGACAGAAAGCGAGAAATCACACCCCAGTGAGGATGGCCATGCTGCAGTTCCTTCTCCTCCATTCTCCTCTCAGGATCTTGGGCACGCACACACATGCCCCTGGCGTGAATTTAAACCACGCAGACTTGAACCACGGTTGACTACATGGGAGTCCAGTGACATAGCCATTATGCCAACTGCTGGTCCCCCAAATTGAGTTCATTTAATAGGAGGCTCTGTGGCAAACATATTTTAGGGGGCTATGAATGAAGATTTTATTGTAATAAAAAGTTGAATATTTAAAGTATGAATGTGCTTTTGTTACCAGGGCTTCCAGCGAATTGTGAATCAGAAGAGGGGGACCATGCCATCAAAACATGGCGGTTTGTAGGGAGTACCTCAAGATGAGGGGCAGATGAAGCCACAGAACAGCTCTAGAATGAGGTCCCAAGAGGCTGCGGGATGGGAGCTTTGATTAGGAGATAATCTGTACTCTTTGAAACTCTGAGATATTGAGAACTCAAACCGAAAAGCTAGAGTGAGTTTCCTGTCCCATGGCAGCTGGCTGAGTAGGATTAGTTGACTGGAAGCCAAGGCCTTTTCTGGCACATCTGTGCATCCACAGCCCTGCCTGCCCTGCAGGCAACAGCTCATTAGGCAATGGTAGCCAGCACTAGGAGTCACTTTTCAGTAGCATGGCCCCCTGGGGTCACAGGAAGACAGAGAAGAGAGTCTTAGCAGATATTATCAATGTCCTCCGTATGTCAGTTCGTGGAACTAGAACAGGCATCTCCAGACTAGCTGCCTGTTTCATAAATAAGTTTTTATTGGAACACATCCACACCTATTTGTTTAATATTTGTCTGTGGCTCCATTTTCTATACAGAGGCAGAACTGAGTACCTGAGATAGAGACTATCATCCGAAAAGAAAATATTTACTGTCTGGCCTTTTTTAAAAAGAATTTAATTTTTATGTATACATTTAATCACTATACATTATTTAGATTGTAAAGAGACTTTACCTCAGTCCAGTCCAGTTGAGAACACTATACACATCCTCATCAACAAATAATAAACCGTATCTGTGCCCCACAAATGTCTTAGCTCTATATTTTTCCCCAATTTTCCTTTCCTACGTTCTTTCCACTTTGTCTCTAGTGTCCACAACAATTTTTAATGCTTGTATGTCCTCCAGTGTTTCCATCTCTACCATAGAGTCCGGACAGTTCTTACCTAGAACTGTATTTGGCTGTTGTTTTAGTTCGACTTTTGAGGATGGGATTACCTAGTTTCTAAAAAGAAATTATCCTTGACTCTTCTCCCCTAGAATCAAATAGTTCTGTTTTCCGTACTGATAGGAGTTCTGTAATTTGCACTTTATTTATTATTTTTTGAGAGGTTTTTGCTATAGGGTTTTGTACTCACCAGAAAGAGAGATACAGAAAGTGAGAAATCAACCCACCCCCCCCTGCCCGGTTGGATGGCCAAATCGCAATCCCTTCTCCTCCATTGTCCTCTTGGGATCTTGGGCATGCATGCACACACACCTGGCATGAGTTTAAGCCACTGGGTCCAGGATTCGAACCGTGGTCAACTACATGGGAGTCCAGCAACATAGCCATAATGCTAACTGCTGGTCCCTCTAATTTGCACTTTCACTGGAAGCTCCAACTCATGTCCCTGCCACAGACTCTGACACTAATTTATACATTTAAGCTAGAAGGTTCCCCCGCCTCCATCTTCTCCAGGTGAGCTTCATATATGACGGTGTTTATTCTTTTTAAAGGGCAGAAAATGGGGGGGGGGGAAATGGGCTGCAAAGGAAATGGGGAAGAAGGAAGTGGAATGCAAAGAGAACAGGGGAGGAGGAATCAGAATGCCAAGCCAGTTGTTTGGGGTTGTAAATCATCTGAAAATGTAAAATGACTGACCACATAATTTTTCTGATCTTTTTTGGGGGACAATTTGATAAACGCATGTGACTTCCTTTAGCCCGATACAGGGCTGTATCAAGGTATTGGGTGTCAACAACAACAGGAAGATAACCATTGACAGCAGGCAGACACTGCTTTTGTATGTAGATGCTTCTCAATAGCCCTCCTAGAGTAGCTTAGGAAGCACATTTCTGCATGTGTCTACAGGCCACATGTTTTCAGACTGGCTGTTCTAAATATATATATAAATATATACATATATTTATATATATATATATACACACACACACACATCTTTATATTCCAAAATAATTTAAAATTCCTAAAAGTCAATGATATGGTATTAATCAGGCAGTTATAGGTAGTATTAAACTACTGTATGCCATAAGTACTGCCAAATTTCTTTATCAGTGGTAAATTATTGTCAAATCTTTAACTAGGGTTAGTTCAGATCTTATTATCCACCGGTAATTACTTCGTTTAACATTGTCCTAAAAGATTTAGTGTGTAGACGAAAGTGCCCACTTTTCATTTGCCACACTGAATCTCACCCCAGCCTCCGTGGTGCTCTTACATTTGGTGACCACCAAGCTGATGCACAGCTCATTGCTGTTGTTTCAGACACTCCAGAAACACAGGCACAGCAATCATAACCTTGTTCACCAAAATGCTGCTGCCTTGCGCGAACAATTTTCTGTCACTAGGCAACAGGCATGTGACATTGTTAAAAATTGTCCGAACTGTGTTCCTTTCCTGCCTTCTCTTCCTATAAGAGTCAACCCTAGGGGCCTGGCCCCCAATCATATTTGGCGGATGAATATAACCCATTATGCCCACGTTGGACACCACCTTGCTGGGACCAGTTCAGTATGAACACGTTTCTCTGAGTGGGGAAGGCCGTGGATTAGAAATAGATGCAATAACAAACACACACAGACACACAGGTATAGAAAAGTGAGGATCGGGTAGGCACAGCCTCTCTGGTGGAGAAACTGCGACCAGAACTAGCCTCAGGTTTATTCTTTTAAAGGGCAGAGAATGGGGTAAGGGGAAATGGGATGTAAAAGGAATGGGAAAGAAGGAAGTGGAATGCAAAGAGAATAAGGGAGGAGAAATCAGAATGCAAAGCCAGTTGTTTTGGGATGTAAACTGACTGAAGATGTGAAAATGCCAGGTGCCATATAATTTCTCTGATCCTTTTGGGTGACAATCTGATAAACGCTTATGACTTCCTTTAGCCTGATACTGGGCAGTATGGACGTATTGGGTATCAACAGTAACGGGAAGACAACCACTGACAACAGGCAGGTACTGCTTTCATATGTAGGTGCTTCTCAATAGCCCTGCTAGAGCAGCTTACAGAAGCATATCTGCATGTGTCTACAGGCCACATGTTTTAATCACATGTTTTCAGACTGGCTGCTCTCCACAGGTGCAGGTACTTGCCAGAGAGAAACAAAGAGAGGGAGAGGGAGAAAGCACTCTCTGATGGGGTGTGGTCATGACATATCCCTTCTCTTCCATTTCTCCATCCTGTTGAGACTTAGGGCACACATACATGCACCCCCTGCCCCCTACTAGGGCAGGACTGAACCACATGGCTGACCACGTGGGATCACTTCACCACCAGGCCATGGAGCCAGGCCCGATGCAATTTTCTTAAAGACACCTGTTGCCCCCAGAGCCAGTTGTATGAAGCAAGGGAAAGCAGACACTAACATGTGAGAGAAGGCAGCATTTGACCATGGAGGGAAGAACTGACAGTAAATTAGGCATCTGTTACTGTCTAAGTGCTCCAC